CTGGTCTATAATATTGAGACATACAGAGTTAAGCTCGGAATTGCTGACCTTTTCGGTGACAGTCAAGAACTTGGTTCAACTTTGCCGATTGCGTTGCAGACGAATCAGGATGCATTGCTAGCTGCCACGACGCAATCGGGAAGGCATCCTGATTCGTTTGCAACACAATCGGCAGAGTTAAACCAAGTTCAACCTTCCCGACAACTGTCGGCGACTGTCGCCGATAGGGTGTGCGATTCTATGGAAATCGAGCTTCAAGTTTTTAGTCGTGAGAAAAAAAAAAACAAAAAAAAAACCCTGATCAGATGAGACATGAACTAGGATCGTCGGCAGGCAGACATCTTAACAACCAAGCTACAACCCAACTCATTTTCACTGAAATCTTAGACTTTTATTTTTATTCATTATTTTGGCACATGTGCCAAAGGAGAGCTAATAGCGAAGTTAAAGAAATGTACCAACGCCTTTCACAAGACAAACATGCACACACAATGCTATACAAAACTAAAACTTTTCTGTAAATGTGTGAACATTTTTTTTTATTCTGTGATATTAAAGGGTATTAAATTATGTGATTATTTTAGTTATATTTTTGGTTTTATTTCTCGACTTACTGGATGGTAGTAAGCAAATGGATATTTTTAGTGTTTTGTTTGTCTATTTTTAACGAAGACCACAAGCTGCCTGCATGGACATCTTGTTAAATACATCTGGTTATTATACATAAATAAATGAATAATGAAAAACGTAGGCCTTTTTACTTACTTCTGTATGGCTTTCAGAAATTTTCGTTGATGCTTCCGAACACGTGCTGGATGAACCCTCTTCACAAGTTTGGTGTATTTATATATTAACCACGTCTCTCTTAATACATTAGCTGCTGCATTTTTCATCTAATAAGTTGAAAGGAAAATGGTGATTTATTGGCATTATTTAAAATCGCATGTAAAATAATTGTTAAATATAATCAACGCACGTTGTTGTTCATTAATACTTCGTAACTGCCAATGTTACGACGTCAAACACTCGATGAGAACATTATATCACTACGCCATAAACAGTACCTTTAAAGTCAGACTCCGGAGGAAAAAAAATGTTTGATATGTTGTAGAACTGATTTTTCTAAGACAGAAAAAAGTTGTTTGACGAAAAACTGGGGAACGGTGAACGAGATACAGATTTTTGAATATTTAAAAACTTGGGGAAAAAGGGACGTAACCGCCCATTTTTACACCTTTTTCCCCCAGTTTTTAAATATTCAAAAATCTGTATCTCATTCACCGTTGCTCAGTTTTTGATAAAACTACTTTTTTTCAGTCTTAGAAAAATCAGTTCTACAACATATCAATTTTTTCCCTCCGGAGCCTGACTTTAAAGTAAGTTCATTGGTTGCTGACATATATCAGAAATGCCTAACCCAAATGGATCAGTGTATTTACAGTATGTATAATTATAATTGTATTAGAACACATACTGTACTATGATTTACTTTCCTCTGTGCGGAAAATATTTTATGAAATATAATGTATACAATCAATGTGGAGGTCAGAGTATAGACAAGATCTAGCTGATTGCTCGAGGAATGAAAAATCGGATGTCTAACAAGAAGATTCCACATTGCAAATAGTTATGCATGAAAACGGAGGCAACGGCCACATGGGAGGTTTTATATTATGAGAAAATGCTGATTGCAATCGTATGAAGTTGATGCAACGCTAGGCCTAAACACCTGAAACAGGCTTTGGTTGGATAACGACATTTCAGTTGAGAATGAGCAATTAATGTCGGTGGGAGTAGGGGGTTGAGAGGAATGAAAAACGAGATATTAGAAAGTTGAATTGCAGACGATCTGCTACTGTACAACTGGCAATGACCGTACTCAACAAACTGTCCCCAGACAAAACCGTCTATAGATCATTAATCGTGCTATGCGCACTGATATTTTGTCATCGTGCGATTCCCAATAAAAACGAATGTGATATAAAATTCATTCGAATAAACTACCAATAAAAGTCACTTTAATGTTAAATTTTGTAAAACTAAATTAAATACATTGTTATCTTGCATTTTGTAACTTCATTGATGTTCAATTTTGAAATATAATAGGCCTACTAATGTAAGAAATATGTTACAATGTATTATGTAACAACAGTATTTATTAGGCCCATTTATATTTCTGTATTGTATAACGTACCGGCGGTATTATGCATTTGAACAATGGAAGAAATATTCGAGTATTATACGTGTTCATTATGATGTATATAGTTTTAGTTTTAAAACAACCCGATTCATGGGCTACATAAACCACTAACATTTTTTGTTCCGTTCAATATATTTTTGAAAAGTAAAATTGGATAAAAATTTAATATATCAATTATCATTATTATTGATATCATTCCATTAGTAAAAAAATTGTTACTAAATTTAATACTAGATAAAATACGCACAATAATGGATCATTAGTATACCTGTACACATAGCTTAATATAACATAACAGAGTAGTGTTTATTGACGTATATAAAACATCTTAATATAGAAAACTGCGCGATTAGGCTACGTCAAATCCTGTCTTTAATATATGATTATTCGTAATTGCCTGTCACATAATTAATTGGTTTCGGCCAAATATGGTTTGAAACTCTAAACAACCAATACAAGGTGTAATTGGCTTGTTATTGTAGTCTGCAAGTGGCACGCGGCTCTATCTCTAACTGTGCATGCGTCTGGTTTCACATAAATATCGCCCCCGAGAAACAAGCCTCCCCATCTTTACGTAAAGTTCTTAATGACTGGACCTCTGCAGGCCGATTCTCTAAATATAAATGTTAAGTGTAAGGCTGATATTCGACATTATCGTGGTCATGTAACTACACACTATTGATGAAAATATCAATCAGGGTGACAATATCCATCAACAAGACAAAACGTCTATATGGAATTCAAGACTAGGAAGGGTATATAATCTTAATTACCTAATAGCCTAATCGATTGCAATTTTAACGAAAGTTCCATTGGCCATGCTAGTTAAAGTGTCTGCACGCACAGCAGAAAACCCGGGTTCGAATCTCGGTTGAGGTGATTTTCTTTTCAGACTCGCAAATTCTTCTTCCCTACCGTTTATAAATATGTATGTAGCTATACACAAATATTTTATGCGCATGGCCACTTGTTTAGATTTTATTTGCAAACATAATCAAACCGGTCGCCGACGAACTTTTAGTGCAGAAAGTATATCCAATTCTAAAAATTGTCTAAACAAGACACTGAAATAAACTCGAAGATATTGGTTTAGAAATAGGATATAAATATTCAAAATGCTGGATTCAACATGTTCGTGGACGTAATTACGTTCTTCTTTATATAACGAATAATTTACTAAATTGAACATACCGAGTATACAAGATCAATCACTGATATCTTTACAAGATAGCATTCATACCAATTTCCGACCGAGATTGAAATGATCAGGAGAAACCTTTAGTGTACACGGACACTGATAAAGCTAACACGGGCATGATGTTATCTTTGATAACATCGATAATGGACAGGAGTATCTTTTTAATTTTTGTTGTGAACGTGTTGTTTCCAGTGGGGTTATTCTGTTGCATATTTTGGGCAGTACACCGGGAGACAATCCCCTACTGCTTTCCAAAGAGTGCACTGCGTTCTTTAAGTGCCTTGCACATTTCATTACGATGTATAAGCGTCATGCAAATCTTTATTATTATTATTATTATTTATTTATTATTTTGGGTCATTTTGTACACGAGACAACCGCTAACGCCTCATCCGAAAGACGGTGCGTTATCGTAATTTTATTAACCATACAGCTCAGCAGTTAGCCACATTGGAAATGGACCAGGTACCACAAAAAAGACCTTCATCATCAAGCACTAACACAATTGCTACGACTGAGCTAAGCTGCGTTCGGCGACTGTGATGGTAAGACAATGAGCGGGGGAGGGGGGTGATATAACTTCGAAGCAATAGAGAACAAAAATGTACGTGTATGACGAGATCACAATGAAATAAACTCACTCTTTTTGTCAATTGATTATCCATCATAAAATTGTGGACATGTTTTTCAGCTCTCGATAATTCCAATTTTGTTGCGAGTACTGCTACAACGAGCGCTGTACACATTGCACCCTGTCAACGAAAAATAAATACATACTGACACATTTGAACATTTTAAATGGTATTAGTGTTGAATCCAAGAGACGTGGCGAACAGGAGGTACACCCTCCTATTTGAATCTGTATAAATTTCATTTTGGGTGTTTCCTCACTTTTTCTGTGGTCCAATTGGCTAGTGCTTCATAGAACCCTCGGAGTTTTAATATGTATCTTAACCTCTAATCTAAATGATCTCACACTCAGAGATTAGAGGTTTTGTCTGCTGCGGAAGGGGCGAGTTCCCTTTTTGCCACCCCCTGATCCGCCATATGATGAAGTAAAATATTGGTAATAATCTTAATATTTGCCTATACATTGTGTTCTGTACACATATTCTTTCATTGGCTAAGTTACCAATGGCATTATATAATTATTATTCCTTACCATTATTCCAGTTATTACGGAAACTGCACGTCCGCAGTATGTATTCGGAACCATATCTCCGTAGCCAATTGACAGGAATGTTATAGAAACTATCCACATGGCGTTCAACATCTCGCCGTTGTTACTGTCATGATATCTAACAATATTCATAATAACGGTGATAATAATAGCAATTAGATGATAAACCAATGTAACATTTTTATGACATCGATCCCCATTAAGAACATTTTTGTAATGAATATGAAAATTAAAATAATAATTATTTAGACATTCATTTTTTTCTCAATCGGATTTTGAACCACCCTACATCTGTTACAGAACAGTTGCTTTATGACTTGGTGAATAAGTGAAATTTATATAGGCTTATCTTTGGGGTTTTATGTTTAACTGTTTTGTAAATGGTTTTTGCTTCCAACAACCGCTAACCCTTTGCCTAGTAATAAAACATTGAAACACTGCAAATAGATCCATTGCATATACGGGCTTAGGATACCGGGCTTAGACGACTCCTCTGTAAATACATATTTTGGTAAGTTTGGGCAACTCAACATCAACGAAAGATATGCAACAGTGCATGACACTGTATAATGACGTCATACAATGTAACAAATTAGGCACTGATCAACCTCCTATAAATTCCTTAGCGTAAATTCTGACCAATCATGGAAAAGATCAAAATAATTTCATACTCACCGTTCACACACTCGTAAGATCCAACTAGCAATCATCCATAAAGTTACGGTGAAAACAAGAAGTACTGTACCAGGGCAAATTGTCATAAGAGTCTTCAACACGAATCTGGTATTAAAATTAATCCGATTGAGGGCGCCAATACTTCGCGATGAGGCGTCCGTGAATAGTTTACTATGTAATAACATTACTCTGCATATTAAATATAGTCTTAGAAACATAGGAATGGAAAGAAGAACATCCACGTCAGCCATAGCCTCCCTAGTCATATGTGTATATGCAAACTCGGTTTTCCAAAGAAAGGTGTACCTCCCTGGAATTGGATGAATGGCACATACAAATAACTCGCTTGATAAAAGCGATATTCGGGAAAAAGTCATTGCTAAACGCCAGTCATCCGCACAATTATCTACAAGAAAAAGCTGCAACGAATAATAAAAAAAAAACACATGTAAGTTCTTACGTGAAACAAATAAGCAAATTTCGGTACTGTACCATGCTACTTCTAATGATAATCATTTCCTTTTTTTTGTCATGTTTTTAACATTTTAGCAATGTATAATAATCTGAGAAACATTAGTTAATGATGAAGGCAGAAAACAAACAATAATGGTGGTTTGTTACGGCATTATGAATTTGTTGAAGGCACATGCTCTAATACATAATATAAAACAATATAGGTAAGTTACATTAAACAATAGGTATGCTACAATGTTATAAACTAGGATTATGATTCGGTTGTCCTTACGGTGATGGACTTGACCGTTACGTCATCATCATCACAATTATATTCATCGTTTTCGGCATATGACAACGATGATTATGATGCCATATTTAATAATAATATAATATAGGCCTACCTATATATATCCCTATTATGTAATACATACATATGTATAAAGAACAGTAATTAATATTTTAATTATATATATATATATCATATAATATAAAATATCAGATAAGTATCGTCATTGGTATTATATAGAATAGAAATTACGGTGATGGACTTGACCGTTACGTCATCATCATCACAATTATATTCATCGTTTTCGTCATATGACAACGATGACTATGAAGCCATATTTAATAATAATATAATATAGGCCTACCTATATATAGCCCTATTATATAATACATACATATGTATAAAGAACAGTAATTAATATTAATTTATTTAATTACATATATTATATATATATATATCATATAATATAAAATATCAGATAAGTATCGTCATTGGTATTATATAGAACAGAAATAGAACATTTATATATGGTATATTAGGACTATATCATCATGATAGCACCAATAACCATCTGAAAACGTTGAACACAGCTAACAGTAGGCTAACAATAAACAACAGAGTTGAAAACACTATCGAACTAGGCTGTTAATAGAGCTGTCACGATAACAATTTTGTTTCCATACATTATCTTAACTTGTCAGTATTAATTATTATTACCGTACATTCTGTATCATATTTTCACCGTATCCACAATACTTGATTACCACCAAGCTAGGCAACAAGTCGCCACAAGTTAATTAATCATTTACCACACACACCAAAAAACAATAGCAATTTAATTAAAATCTACCCCCATAAAATATTGTTGCCATTCAAAAAGAACTTGCTCACTCGGTTTGGTGGTGTGATACCTAAAATATATTTAATAAGCATGTTGTTTTATTTGAGATAATTAGGAGTGCTTTGTTTTGAAATCCAATAATTTAATAACAATCGGCTCACTCACAAAGGATTTGAGATTCATGTGTCGATTCTTCATTATGTTACGGTCCAGTGCTACGACTTCCACTACCAACGTCATTGTTCAAATCGATACAAGTAACTCTACTCCACACATAAGTTAAACTCTAAGTATTATTTAAACATTTCTTTCGACACCGTAATTGGCTAATTAACTCAGTAATATAAGTATAACATTTAAAAATATAATTTTATTATATATAAATTATATATATTTTAATTAATGTATATGCATATCCCATCATTGTTTTTGCTGCTAAACGTTTGTTATTCACTCGTCCTGTAGGTCAGTAACTTAAGATCGTTTAATCACTAAAGCAATGTTTATAAGCCATTAATAGTCTCCACTACCTCGTATTTTTTCTCAAAGAATACACATCATTAAGTACCAACATTCTTGTCAGCGCCCTCATCAATTTTCGTACTGTTAATTGTAGCTGTCTATACACGTTTGAATTGTACCCAATAGGAGATGAATGATTACAATACTTGATCGTCTGCATGTTTTATATTTTGTGGAACCAGGCAGTGGGTCCCTATTCTGTCACTTCGAACTATTTTAAGTTACTGTTGATTCTCGTTTAGAAAGTGGATCTCGATTACTCTATAAGGTCATACCTCACTCGTAGCTAACACGTAATAATCTCGTAAAGGTCCTTTTGGGCACAAGCTCTCCATCCTGATTGGCGTAGGGAGCTTTCGATTGCGCGACGATCGCACACTTTGTTATCAGGTAGGCTGAAAAGCTATTCTCTTTTTACACTAAAATATAGCTCTAAGATTAATGTAACGCGAAGTTTAAAAGGACAAAAAAAAATCGCCATGACCACTGGCAGATAATTTCCAAAAAGAAGAAACAGCGCCACCATTATGGTATAAACGAACAAATGGGAAGAGACAACAGCAGGTGCAAAAGCCAAGGAATTACACCGCTAATGATAATATAAAAGCGATGGATATGAGGATAGATATACAGGTTTCCCCTTTTATATTTGCAATACCGCAATAAAGATTCGTTTCCGCCACATTTAATTATAAATGTTACAGTGTAACAATTATATAGACATTCATGCTTGAAATAGATCAAAATGTCTTCCTTACAGTCGTCCAATACAAAAATATTCATTAAATGTAATATACAATATATTGTCAGATCTTTCAAAATTTTAAAAAAGTTATTTGTTTACAATGCCAACCACTTAATAATTGGAATATATTGAAATCTTCGAATTTGTTTAATATTATAGTTATTATAATGGTAAACCTTAAAAGCGCATGCACTTACCACATCATTACTCTAGTCACTGCATCAAACGCCTACAGAACATACCATAATATGACAATCATCAGCGCATTGGTGCCTACCAGGTACTCTCTTACATTCCTCTTTGTAATCATAGTCACTGTTTTCATTATTAATTTTATTATTATTAATAGGCCTATTTCTAATATTAAAATTTATATATAGGATGATAATTATTAATACGATTATGAACATCATTATTATTAGGCTTATTATTAAGGTTATGATAGTGTAACTACAGTAACAATACTAATTTAAAGCAAAACGATTATATCTAGTAAAATTGTGGAACAAATAAAACCGGATCACTAGATCAAAGCATGCAACATTGTGTGTAAAAGGTTGGTAGTCGAGGACTAATGGGCTTGAAAGGACGAACCTGGATCCTGATTAACTAATTATATTGGGCTAGGGCTAACATATTCACATTCAATAATTATGCATAAAAAACCTACATAACACGCCTAAGTAAACCGAACTATGAGGCCAGAGTCAAATATAACACCAATATGAGAGCATTCAACAAGTATGACGGCATTGCACATTAATTTGTTGAATTAGCATTTTTCGTTAAGATATTTAATTGAAAAGTGTTTGTAGGCCTAAATAATATGCAAGCCTATTGGTATTATGGTATTATTCTAGCAAACACAAATCGTTTTTATAACATTCACGAATGTTGGAAATGTTACTGTTAGGTTTTGTCAGAGAATAACGTTAAAATAACGTTGCGGTAACGTCTACGACGTTATTTAGTCAGAAATTACTTTATAAATGGTCCAACAAAGGAAAGTTTTGAATGCCAAATTGCAATAACGTAAAATTGTTAGCTGTACTGTAGGTTTTTGAAGGCAGATAATGTCGACTTTTTCTATCCAAAACATCCCCACTCTCTAAGCCCATAAGAAGACTCGGTTATAGAGTATTTTTCAGTGGTCCTACTTTATCGGCGTTGCTGAAATTATTACCTTTTCCACCAATAATAATAATAATAATAATAATAATAATAATAATAATAATAATAATAATAATAATAACAATAATAATACTAATACTAATAATAATAATAAATACTAATAATAATAATAATAATAATAATAATAATAATAATAATAACAATAATAATAACAATAATGTTTATAGGCCTACAATTAAGCCTTTAATATATGTTCGTCCAATTCGGGCTTGAAATATTGTAGAAAGTGGGTATTTGTAAGTTGGAGCTTGATAAATCGTTGGCCTACATTATGAAACTCAAAATTTGTAATGGAAAACCATCACATTATATACAAGGACATGTACAATCACGTGGTATCATTTGGAAATCATAATATGAGATGATTGTCACGTGATCCCATTGAGCGTCACACCAGCATTACTTTAGTCCCTGTCATTAACAATATAATAATTGTAATATGCATTATTATTAATATATCATTACTACCGTCACTATGCCAACGACGTTGTCAAATAGAACAGTGTCATTATTCAAGTGGAGTAAATAGGATTTCAAAGGCAAGAATAATTAATGAATAGATTTGAATACCCAGGGAAGACGTGCTTGGGTCACAGTTCGAAGCTGTTCTGCGATATCTAGCGCTGCATTGCTGCATTATTGCACTCTGATGTACACGCATTATTCGTATCACAAAGATTTTATAGTGATATTATATTTTATTACTACTTTGATTGTACTATTAGGCTGCCATTCAGTTTGTTATATTGGTTTAAATTCAAAATATAGTGACGAAAAATAATACTTGCTTTCAATACTCGTGGTATATTCATATAGGCCTAATAGCAATATAATGGACCATATTGTTTCATTTTACTATGTTATTATACTCTAAATTTTAGAGTTTCCGATGATTCTAGTAGGGGGAAAGATGTATGGTACCTTGTACAGAGCACACATATACCTCATTAGGACATTAAAGATCACATTAAGATACAGGTTTAGTATAGGGGGAAACTAAAAAAATTGTAGCTTATAAACATTTTCCCAAAACCATAGGCTTACAACCGACAAAATTAAAATACGTTTAGATTAGTAAAAACTAATAGTTACGGACGCGTGCAACCCCGTCAAATAACCTCGTAACTCTTCCATCTGTGGCCTGCCATACTATGCAAAGTGACATGTAATTAGGCCTAAGATAACAATAAAAAAAAAGTGGGTCGATGTGCTAACCACTATAGCTTTATTAACATCGTAACTACAAGAATAATGATTGATTATTTAGCAACCTTAATTTTGCTTATAAAGCGTTGATATTCCCAAAAGACGTTACGTCATATCTCTCACTGTATTTTCGCGCCAGACTCAACGCTGTGTGTAGAGAAATGTGGCGTGT